TGGCAGTGCTACTAAGCAGACCTGAGCTATTAATTCAAAGCAAATGGAAGAAATGAGTAAACAGAAAGTTTACTGGTCTGAGGAAACTACAGGCCTGAGTGGCCTGTTCTGCGTTGGGTGTATTTCAAATTTATTGCTTCGCTTTGATCATCTGAAATTACCACTCTTTTCAGCTGGAATGCAGAAAAACTAAAAACAAAGGGCCCCAACATTATTTATTCTGGTTTTAAAGGGGAGTCCTCTCACAAACTATTTCCTCCTCTGCAACCTGCCTGTTGGATGCTGTTTGCTCTACAAACATAATTTGCATGCTGAACATCACAGGAAAGCTTTATTTCATCATAAAATGTTACAAACAAGCCAAACGCGGAGCGCTCCTAGGTATGAGCACTTGCTGGCCTCACTCCTGGGCAGGTCTTGAGAGGCAGGACGTGCATAGGGACTAAGCACAGCTAAAACTAGGTACATAGTTAGGCCCTCATGGGGTTGGTGCCAGCGCACTGGGAGATGTGTGAGCGGTGGAAAACRAGAGCCCTGTGGAGGTGTTGCCAGCCGCGGAGCTGCGGCCACCGCTCCGTCCTGCCGGCGGAGCAGAGCGGAGCAGAGTGTCCCAACGCCCAGGTGGGCAGGAGGCCACAGGCTTCCCTGGAGTGTCCCAATGCCCTGGCAGGCAGGAGGAGGGAGACTCCAGCCCTGGGTTCCCTTCGGGAAAAATGGAAAGGGCGGAAGCCGCAGAGGCTCCCGAGCGCCGGGCTGTATCCAGCCCCGGCACGAGAGCTGCCGGGCCATCTGCTTTTCCCCAGTGCCGGGGTCAMGCATTTCAAAGGCTAATAGGGCTTGGGAATATTTAAAATGTAGGCATATGTTTAATTCCTTACTATCCTTGTGGYTAAAAAGATGGATTGAGATTCTCTCGAGATCTCCGTGCTACTGTTTTCACTTAAGTGGAAACTGAGTGTTGTGTTACAGCTCCCTGCAACCCTGTGCCGTATGTTGCTTTTAGCTTTCATGCTCCTTCGACACGGTGCTTTTTGGGACCCTCGGGTGAATATGGGGATAAAAGTCCAAGCGTGGGGTGCAGGACGGAGCGTTGCGGGGCCGGAAAGTCAAAGCACTGCCGGCAGCCGGTGTCTGCTTGGTGAATTTGCCTTTCTAATGAGCTCCCCGAGTTTCTGTGTGAGAGGGCTGAGGGTGTGTTTTAGAAACATGTAAACACCAGGCAGTTGCTGACGGAGTTAATGTAAACTCTATAGAATGTTTTATCGGGTGTCTCTGTGTTTAGTCTGGAGAAGAGAAGAATTYGGGAACAATTGGGCTCCTCAGATGCCCCAAAGGTTGCTCTAAAGAGGAGCGACCAACTCTGTTAATGCAATCAAACAAATGAAGCCGGACCCCATGAAGCGGGGCAGCTTTGTTAAGTTCCGTATCTGGTTCTAAATGTTGTTTCAGTTATAGTAGTCGAGTAGTTGAAAGACCAAATTCTTACCAGATTAATCAAGTTATTCACTCCCGTTCTGCCCTCTGAGAAGGTCACGGTCAATTTTCACRTTTCTGGAAGCTCTACCTACTGTTTCCTTTCCCTAAAGCGAGTCTCCAAAACCACAATGTAAAGCTGAATCTTAGCCATGAATGTCAGAGGGATTTTTTAATATTGTTTTTTCCCCCTCTATAGCAGTAGCTGCACGTCACATGGCTCCTCTTTGCCTGGGATTGACTTTTATTAAGATTTTATTCATGAGATTTTTTTTTTTGAACACAGAGTGCCCGTTACTATTTTTGGTTGTATTACTTGAGTTTCTACTTTTAACTGGCTTGGGCAGGCTATAGCTTAAAAATATTCTGAAATTATATTTCTGCCTCATCAAGATTTAAAAAAGAAGAAAGTTTCATATTTTCTTCRTGAGTGCATTGGAAGAATGATTTGGTATTTGAATTTACTCGCTCTTTTAAAAGATGTATACCCTCTTCTTGCCAGTTGCCTGTCCAATCGTGTGGTAACTGGGAGCCAGCAGAACTCCTCACTGGATTTAATTTTTACATATGTTATAGTTGACTGAGAGCCTGACAGTGCTTGGGTTTGGTTTAAAATCTTCCTCCCGGGTCACCTTTATTTTGGCATCGAAATGCATTATTTTTACCTAATGCTTCRTTAATTTTGCAGAAGAAATTGTCTGTTCTCAGAAAGCGTAGCATTTCTTTTATACATGCAGTATTACCTGATGCTTGAGATGTGACTCTGTTTTCACTACGCAGTGTTCTTTTTTTTCACTAATTAAGAGGCTTGTCAGATCGGATCAAAAATAATCCYGTCTCGGGAGTCTCAAGATGTGATGCGGTACCTAATAAGCAAATGAAAAGCCATGGACAGATCTTACTTAGGTGAGATTAAGAATGGGATCTAAGAAGTAGGAAAAGTACCTGAGGACGGAGACCTTATAAAATGTGCTCCTGAGAGGACCAGTAAAATCCATTAAAGGTCTATTCCATTACACGGCAGTGTAATCCACACATTAGGGTATGAGAAATCCACACATTAGGGTATGAGGGAGCCCTCCCTCCCGCACGGCGGAGCCCCTTGAGCCTCACGCTGACCCAGCCCATGGTGCCATGTGGAAGCAGAGTAATCACTGACAGATGGAAGCTGGGAGGGAAGGYCCAACGGGGGCTTGTTTTTCCTTTTAAAGCTTCTTGAAATGCTAGTGGGTACATGATAATCAATATAATGGACCCTCTGCTTGGAGCGGGCCAGGTAGTGGCATCTCAAGTGACAACATATGGCTGTGTTTTCAAGGAGAAACTGTGCTCGCTGGTGCTGTCGTAAATAAAGTATAGGCCTGATAAATAAGCAGACTTTATCTGAACTTCGYTAAGTTGAATTTCTGTCCCAATATTGCAGCTGATGCAGTCACCATTAGTTTGTACAGCATTCCTGAAAGATACCTCGGTGGAAAATCTTCCAGCTCGGACTTCAACGTGCTGCACTTAACCAATCCACAGGCTATGGGATGACCTGCGTTAGTTTAAAACACATTCAAAAAAAAATATGCCTGAATTACAGCAGTATAATGGTACTGCTTACTTTTTGTGAAGTATTTGACAGGATCTCAGCATCCTGTTTGCAAGCAGAATGCAAAACACAATTGGAAAGCCTCACTGCTTGTATCTTTAGGTGAATTTTCTTTTGTTTCAGAATCATATCTCAAAAAGTTAAGAGGAAACTGCTGAAGTTAGAAGGTTTAAAATTAAGCTAGACTTAAAAATTAAGCTAGACTGAACCCACTAACAGATTTATCATGAAGAGCTTGGGCACACGTTCTTCCCACCAGTTTTTGTTGCAGCATGAGAAAGYGAGACTTGAAGTCTTTCGGGGACAGCAGAATAAGTAATTCTTCACGGACAAGGTCAATACTCCGCCTTGCTGCCAGAGAGCAGCAGGCTGGAGGGCGGCGCGCGGCTGGCGCTGCCCGGGTGGAGCGGAGCTGCCCGGGTGCAGCCGCGGCGCCCAGGGAACCTCCTGCCGGCACCRGGGCCGCCCAGACGCTGAGAGGCCCGAGGCTGAAGCCAAGCAAATGAACGGGCCGCTCTTGTTGCTGCAGAGACAGCAAAAGCACTGCCGGGGTTTGGAAGTACAGGTGCTGCTTCYTAGAGTACCCAAGTCACCTAAAAACCCTCGTCTGCTTCAATCCCGGTCACCGTTTGGGAACCCAGAAACGCGGTAAACTGGGGGTGTGGGGCCTGGAGCAGGTGGGGTATCCTGGCCTGGGCTGGGCTGGGAAGGGGTAGCACGGGACTCCTCCTCCTAAAGCGAGCATTTCAGTGCTCCTCCAGACACAGCCAAGTGACTTGGCATCCAGCTTAAACCTGTCCTGAATGTGTGAAGCTTGACATCCCCGGCGAGACCCGGGGCATTCACCCCTGCCCTGTTGTCCTCAGGGGTTGTTTTTAAAAGCTGTGATACCTCCTAATGTGCTGGATGCCAAGCCTGGCACAAAGAGCTGGAAGTTCATAGGAAAAGCAAGGATTTAAAGCATCATCCCTCCGCACTTCCCAAGAGAATAGCTGTTTTAGTTCTCAACACGCCCTGCTGAAGCAGAGGCCACTTTGTCAATATGTATAGCAGAGTAAATGTGTGGTGGTGGCAGAGGAGCACCAGGGGATGGGAAGGGAGCCAGACCTCGCTTGGGAGYGGGGAGAGGGAGAGCAGCTGCTCCGAGCGGTGGCCGGGAGCGCCAGGATGGACATGGGACACGCGGAGCGGGCGCGGGAAGGGCTGGGCTGCTGGGCGCCCGCAGGAAAGGGTGCCTTAATCCCAGCATSCTGTCTCCGGCTGCAGCCAGCCCTATGTGTATTATGGAATATATGAGAAAATCCACGGCGGATAAATATGGAGTGACTGGGCCTGCAGGGATCCGCTGTCATTTCCCCCGTTCGTCACCGGGGATGATTTATGCCCGCCACAACTTCTGTGTTTCCCAGTCCGCTCCCCACAGCCGCAGCCACCGCTGCCCTCCGCGTTATGGAAACTTCGTGGCTCGGCTGCATCCAGGCGGGAGCTGGCTCSGAGGGGCAGCCTGGCACCAAGCCAAGCACTGCAGCTCCCAAGGGCGAAACCAGGGAAGGTGCCCAGCTCCCTCTTGCCGCTCCTGGGTTTTGTGTGTTTGATTTTTGGTTTTTACAGCGCTTCCGCACACACTGGCCGCGAGCAGCGACCTGCGGGGGGAGCCGCRGGAACCTTCCCCCCTCAGGTGGCCGCAGCCGGGCAGCGAGGCCGCTTCCCGGGCGGCTCCCGCGGCGGGACGGGGCGGGATAGGAGGGGACGGGAGGCGCGGCCGGCTGCGTCGCGGCCGGGCAGGGCGAGGGAAGCGGCGCGGGCGGCTCCTCCTCCCTCCCCGCCTCCCGCAGCTCCTCCCGCGGCAGCGGCGAGGCGGGAGCAGCGGCCGCGGTGGGGCCCCGTGCGGCGGGCGGCAGGGCGCTCTCCGCCGCCGCCGCCCGCGAGCGGCACGAGCAGCATGAGCAGCGGGCGCCCATGAGCTGGACGAGCAGCATGAGCAGCGGCTACAGCAGCCTGGAGGAGGAGGACTCCGAGGAGTACTTCTTCACGGCGCGCACCTCCTTCTTCAGGCGGCCCCCGGGCAAGAGCAGGGCTGCCCCGCAAGTGAGTGAGGGCGGCCGGGCGGGCGCCGCGCCGGCCTCCACGTGGCCGCTCCCCTCCCCCCCGCGCGCCGGGCGGGGCCCAACGGCCCTAACGGCCCCAACGGCCGAGCGGGGCGCGCCGCGCCGCGCGCGGTCCCGCCTGGGAGTTGAGCCCCACCGAAGCGTCGCGGAGGGGGGKTTTTAAAAGTGTCTTTTAAGTTTGTTAATTTTGTGTTTGTTGGGAGGGGGGCTCGTTAGTACCTGTTGAAAACCCGACTGAAAGAACTGATTTGCGARTATTCGCCCCAAACCCTGCCATGTGGGGATGTGATTTTATTGAAAACGCAAAAACGCACGCGGCGTTTCTGCTGGCGGCGAGGCCGCTGTGGCGGCGCCTTGCCCGTTCGCGCCGTGGGCCCCTGCGCCCCTTGGCGCTCCTGTTGAGCGTCCGGAGCGGTGCTTGGGCGAGCACTCTCCGAAGTGAGCACTCACCCCCAGCAAGCCAGGTGCGAGTGGGCACTGGGGTGAAGATCCCGCCGAGGGCAAGAAAGCGCTTTCCTGGTTAGCGTGGAGSGTGTTAGTGAAGTTCCTGCCAGCTTGCACGAGTGGGGAGAAGTTTAACATTCGGCATTTCCTACTCAGGAATGCCCTCAAACCAGGACCGTGCCCAGGCCGCTTCTCCCGGGAGCAAGCTCCGCTTCAGCAGTGTGCTGCAGATGTCTGCTGTGGGATGGGTTAAAATGGGGGCTCAGCAGCACAGGGTTGAACTTCACGGYTCCTGAGCCAAGCCGGCAGCCCTCTCCGTTTCTCTGCCTCCGGCGCYGGATCTCCTTCTAGAGCATTTTGTTTTGTTTTGATCTTGGGAAGCCAATGAGCTACTGCGTCTGTTTGCTTTATACTAACTCTTCCCCTGCTGCCCCCGCTGCTTCTTGTAGCTTTTCTGTTTCTAGTTCATTGTGCAAATTGTTGGTGCTTTTTCCCCGCTGAACTTCGGGCTTAGTAATACTGCTGCTATGGAGATGTAGTTAAAAACTTGCCTGACTGAGCCTGAATGTTTGGGATGCCTCCTGGTCACCCCAAGGTCTTGCCAAGGCTCTCCTTTGCCGCCAACCCTTTGCTTCAGGTTAAGTTGTGCTGCAGAAAACCCACCTTGTTTTCTCCAGGGTGCCCCCACTGTTGTTCCTCATGTGAGGTTTGCTTAAATTTTAGAACCCCCTAACCCATCAGGTAAGTCCTGCGCCCCTTCGGGAAGCGCTTTCTTGATCCCCAGACTCCCCTGTCCGATTTGGGACAGGAGCTCTGGGCTCTCCCAACACCTGAGCTCGGGCGCCTAGTGAAAATTGCCTGGAACCCACATTTCTTTGCTGCCTCCCGAGGGTGCGCCTCACAGTATCACTTCCCACCCTTTTCTCATTCGTGTTGTGCTCCAAACTCCCACCAACCTGAGTGACGCTGTGGGATTCGGCAAGCCCTGCGCAGTGTCCTTGAACTGCATGTGCTGACCTATTTGGCCAGGCTTGGCTACCACCTGGCTGCTAAAGAGGAGGACCGGCCTCTGATGGTGTCGTGCCAGRCTAAGGAGATGTTAGAAGGCTCAGATCTTGATTAAAAAAATAACCGTGTCTTCACAATGCTGTTACATGAGTGGCCTGCGAGTTGTGCAAGTGGCAGGTTGTGCAAGCGCCAGAGTCGCTTAGTGGGACGTTAACTGCCCCACCGAAGTGCGAGTGGGGAGTAGCGTAGAGCTCCGTGGGGCTGGGTGGAGGTGCTGGCCGCTCGCACCGCAGCCTCCGGGTGCGCTCGGATCCCGCTCGAGAAGCTGCTGGCACTCGGATCCCGCTCGAGAAGCTGCTGGTGCTCGTGCTGGGCGAAGGCCAGAGCCCCCAAGCAGTGCTGAACGCGGACGCCGGCCGTCATGTGGCTGGCGAGAGGGAGCTTCCCCTTCCAGCAATAACAGTCATAATGAGACTCTTTGTGTGCGCGAGGATGTTGCTTTTGGTTTGTGTTTGAGGTTTGGGCAAAAAATGCTTGCTATGCCCCCTGAGCTAAGGGAGAGGAGTGGAGGTGGTAGCTACTGCTTCTCTGTCTTTCTTGGCTGCACAGATACTAAGTTTAGCAGTGTGGCTTTTGCTTGCAGAGGACTTAAGTGCTGGTCACTGCTTTTGTTCCTCTTGTTTTTCCCATGAGAAATGCAGGAGAGGAAACTGTATAGTTAGAATCTCAGCTTGCTGCTGTACTTACAGACAAACACCCTAATGGCTTTGGGGTTCATTTTGTCCAGATTTCCAAAAAAGTGAACATGGGTAACTGTGATATATTTAAATATTTAAGAAGGAAAAAATGAAATGGAGTAGCTTGGCKAGAGTTTGTCTTCTGTTTGAGTAGGGGAGGGAAGACAACTTAYTGACAGACTTCAATTTATGCAGCCGAGACAGCATAACTGGAATAATAGCAGTTCTGGTGTAGATATCTCGTAATAGTGTCTTTTGACTTTGCCCATGAGGCTTGATCTCCCTTAGAATATGTAAAGATAGGAATTTGTCTCTTCCTTTTTCTCCATTCCCCAGAAATAGTCGGCATAGGAAGCACTGCAGCCTGTGATGGGCTGCAGTCAGTCGGCAGCCCCTTCCTTACGTAAGCTGTAAAGAGCAGGGATTGCTTCCCCTCTTAGAAGTGCCATGGAAGACCAAGCCCCTGTCCTGCAGAGGCCCCTTGAGAGAACCGCTTTGATTCCCAGAACAAGCTGGATTTACATGGTTTCATTTGGTGGAAGGCGGTCTTGAAGCTAAGAGATCTCACATTCGAATGGCCATTCATGTTTTGAATGACATGTCCACGGTGTGTTGCCTTCCTTTCTCTCAAAACAGCCTCCTTTTAAAGTGTATCGTTTAGAATAGGTGGCCTATTCCATCACTGCCCCAGCTCCTGTCAGTAAAACAATGTGGGGGAGGAAAAAGGTGAATGAAGTCAGTGAAATCTGGGATTTGTTAGGTGACAAACATAGTTTTCCCTTTTTTTTTTTTTCCCAATAAAAGTGATATATGTAGTTGATCCAAAATAACCTTTGGGAAGAAAAATGAAGCAGGTAATACTTCAGTGTCATGGCAAAGTGCCTAAAAGGCAGGTTGCTCTGTGCTGTGGTTCATGAAGTTCAGTTTCCCACCTTCTTTCCACGTGCCTGCTGCCCGTTTTCCTGCTCTGACGGAAACCTCGGCCCTCCCCTCCCTCTCTAGAGCCGGCGCTTTTGGGGCACCTGGCTCGGTGCTCGACCTCCTCTCCTGCCCCTGTCTTCCCTCGAGAGCCCTCCAGACCCGTGGGGCAGCCCTGCCCTGGCTGTGTCTGCTCTGCCTTGTGTTTTTAAGGGTTAGAAACGTGAGGTGGCAGCGCTGCCGGAGAGAGGGCGGCCCCTGTTCCCAGATTGGAATCACTGTGAAGAGCGGGAGCCTCCTGCATCACAGGGCACGTCAGGGGGCTGGGCTCTGCCTCTGGAGTCTTCGAGAGGTTCGCACTCAAAATGTGCTTCGTGMCTAATGGAAGAGAGCTTGGGAGTGTGAAGTTTGACCCTTGAATACTGTTGTTATAATTAAACAGGAACAAAACACATGAACAAAATACCTTGTGCTTGATTCTTTGCTGTTTCACACCTGGTCCCTGAAAAAGTGCTTGTGAGAAAAATGTAGTGGCTACTGTTGGGTGCGAGACGTGCACCTTCCCCAGCTGCTCCTCAGAATATTCTCATTTCCTTACTTTCCACTTTGGTCCTTCCTCATTTGAGGTCAGCTCTCATCTCCTCTCTTCTCTTTATCGGTCTCCGTGAGYTGCAGACCATGACAGTCTGTGTTGGTTCCTTCCCCCGCAGGGTGCCCTGTCGTTGGATCCTGCYGTGGCACTGCTTTTCCAACTGCATCCTCCGTGCTGTGGTGGCATCATCGGGGTGGCCAGCAGGCTCGGAGAGGACAGCAGCAAAAATGCTGGAAAGGAAAAAATGAAAAAGAGTTGGGAGAGCAGAGATGGCAGGAAGAGAAGGGACAAAAAGCATTGGGTAGAGGTCTCATCCCTAACTAGTCCCAGGGAGGTCTCCCATTCTGTTGGCAGAAGAGGCGATTTGTAGAGAAAGGTGTAGGGTGTTTTTTTGTGTGYAGTTTTTAATTGGCAAGCTATACATAGGGAAGAAAATAGAAACTTTTATGCCCAGAACTCACGTTTTAGGTTTRTTCTGAGAGAACTTGCTCTATCTCTTGAAGAATTTCACTGAGAGGAAGATGCCAAAGGCGAGATATTTTTGGAAAAAAAAATCTGGGGCTAAAATGCTGTTTGCAACTAAGCTTAGTTAGCCTAAGCTTTGTGTTAATAATGTTCACTGTTAATGTGTTTTGTGTAGTTTGGCTGTTACAGCTCTTGTTTCCTTTCGGTTACATTCCCTAGAGAAAATGGCTCTCTTGACTCCCAGAGCAAGTGAGGATTCCAATTATAGACTTTATTTGGAGCCAAGAAGGTTAATTTTTTGTTTGACACGTAGTAACGAAGCTTATTTAAAAACAAAACTAAAAATACCTACTAATGCATTTCATTACTTTTTATYTTCCTTTAATCCATTTGGCGGTTGTTGAACATTCCGGGATAAACATTGTTGCAGCTAAAATAATTGAGAGTTACCACTTGCAGCAACGAGCGGGCTGGATTGTGCCTGTTTTACGTGAGTGTCACTGTTAGACTTGGCTTGTGTTGGCTTGTGCTTTGCCTCGTTCCCCTCTTGCAGCTCTTGCTGGGAATTTTACACGGCAGTAGCTTAGAGCAGGACTCTTAATTGGAGTGCGGAATCGCCTCCCAAGGTGAGACAGGGTTTATGCCCTCCTACGGAGGGAAACAGCAACCTGGTCTGCACTGACCATAAGTGAGTGCAAATTACTTGTAATCACCACAACCTTTTTTGATAATCACAGGTTTGTATATTTGGCTTATCTAACAGGCAAGCTCATGTCCTATGTATGAGATGAAAACTACAAAGGCAAAAATTAATCC